CACACACACACACACACACACACATATATATATATCAATATATAAGCAATATAAATTTACAAGGACATTCTCTCAACATACACTTACAAAACTCCAACTCGATTGCCAGCCGTTCAGACTGTAGGTACTGTAAGGCTAGCAAGTTAGTACTTTACAAATCACCGGCAAACTACTAATAATCGGATTAATGCGATAAAAGGATGTATTCACTGATGTTTGGCAACCATGTAACAAAGCTAATTGGGAGCTAATCGGCTCCTGACCGTACATAGAAAACTTGCAAGTGATATACATCCCAAAAGGAACAAACAACGCTGAGCTAAAACGTCTGTGATAGGACGGATGAATCTTCAGTCAAACGCTACAGCCAATGAACGCTCGACACCCTATGACGCAACTTGCTTTACAGAATGTCATTGGACAAAACCCTATCAATCATCAGACGTCACCTTGCAAGTTCAGTGAAACGCCGAGTGAAACCATTGGCCAGTCACATTCACGTAGTTCCGAAAAGATCCATCGTGATTGGTCGCAGCAGCTTTCAATCACACGTTTCGCTCAATCGGGCGCCTCCTCCCACCCACAGGCGAATGACGCACGAGTCATGTGTGTTTGTGTGCGCTCCGTAGTGTACACAGGGCGCGAGCAGCAGACTGGTAGCCCGCTAGGAGGATCTACCGATAATAGACCGGGTAAATGTGGTCATGTTGCAGTTTCTGGTATTGAGTTCGAGGGAGCATTGGCTGGGATACCTGCTTTTCATGTGGCGGCCGAGAGAAGCTCAACACTGAAAAGACTTGGAAGTGCGCCGCCTGAGACACCGTTCACCCCAAACAAACATGGGGTCTCAGTCTATAAGCCTGAGGTAAAGTGACCTTAAATCTCTTTTCTGATGGCAAATTTCGAGAGCTACCAAGAGGGCAAAGCCGCAATGTTGATGTTGGAAACGCAACAGCGGGCTGTCGGGACTAATCCTGCAGCTGCAACGACAAACGGCGACACTTCTGTCGGGGAACCCCGTTCCGTGCTTAATGTCGGCAGCGCTGCTTTTCATCAACCGAGTGAACAGCAACAGCAGCAGCAGCAGCACCTGGAATCGCCGGCGAGGAAAGGATCCGCGTCCTCTCTTAACCGGGCGCTCGAGGACTCTGCTGCGAGTAGCACACACACTAACTCCGCTTCCCCTGCTGTGAACACCAGTTCCGCCGTGTCGGACGAAATTAGGAAGTGTGGCGAACGGCGACACTTCTGTCGGGGAACCCCGTTCCGTGCTTAATGTCGGCAGCGCTGCTTTTCATCAACCGAGTGAACAGCAACAGCAGCAGCAGCAGCAGCACCTGGAATCGCCGGCGAGGAAAGGATCCGCGTCCTCTCTTAACCGGGCGCTCGAGGACTCTGCTGCGAGTAACACACACACTAACTCCGCTTCCCCTGCTGTGAACACCAGTTCCGCCGTGTCGGACGAAATTAGGAAGTGTGGCTATCTGAGAAAGCAGAAACACGGCCATAAGAGGTTTTTCGTCTTGCGGGCGTCGAGTCATCTGGGGCCGAGCAGACTGGAATATTATGACAGTGAGAAGAAATTTCGAAACACTCTGCGCTCGAGCGCCGCCGCCGCATCAGCTGGTGCCTCTCCCCCCAAAAGAGTGATCTATCTCTACCAGTGTTTCACTGTGAATAAAAGGGCGGATTCTAAGAATAAACATCTCATTGCTTTGTATACTAAGGATGAATACTTTGCGATTGTCGCTGAGAATGAGCAGGAGCAGGAGGAGTGGTACCAGGCGCTCGGTGAGCTCATGAGTGAGGGGAAGAGAGGCCACGTGGACGCGGATGAGATTGACGATGGATATGGTACTGTGACCCCTGGGACTGACTTTAAGGAAGTGTGGCAGGTAAATGTTAAACCAAAGGGCTTGGGCCAGACGAAGAATCTAATCGGCGTGTATAGGCTCTGTCTGTCTGCCAAGAGCATTCACCTGGTGAAGCTGAACTCTGAGACACCTTGCGTGAACTTGCAGCTGATGAACATTAGACGCTGCGGCCATTCAGAGAGCTTCTTTTTCATTGAGGTTGGCCGGTCTTCTTCTATAGGACCTGGGGAGGTTTGGATGCAGGTGGATGATTCTGTGGTGGCTCAGAACATGCACGAGACCATTCTAGAGACCATGAAGGCACTGAAGGCATTTGCCGAGTTCAGGCCCAGAAGCAAAAGCCAGTCTTCTGGCACCAACCCGATGGGTTTCATCACCACACGACGACACTTGGGCAACCTCCCACCCAGCCAGACAGGGCTCCAGCGGCGGTCTCGAACCGAGTCTGTGGTGGGCACTCCACCCAGCAGGAAGAGCAGTGGAGCAAGTGGGTATCGATTCCGCACCTCAAGTGAGGGAGAAAGCACGATGAACCGCCCCTTTCGCTCTGTGACAGGTAGCCTTATTCATCTCAACACAGCCCGTGCTAACCTGAGCCGACAGGAAAGTAGCAGTGGGGCTGGGGCCCGCTATATTCGTGCCCCACCAAGCTCCACTTATCATGCCCGTTCTGCCTCGCTGCCAGTGTCACACTTTCCTTCTACCACCAGTCCCATCAGCATGTCCAGCAGCAGCGGGCATGGCTCTGTGTCAGACACTATCACTCGCCCCTCCAGCGCGTCCATTTGTGGATCCCCAAGTGATGGTGGATTCAACTCGTCTGATGAGTATGGCTCCAGCCCTGGAGACTTCCGGTACTTCAGAGTACGCAGCAACACCCCTGACTCCCTGGGAAACACACCACCTATCCGTGAGGAGCACTGCCTCAATGACTACATGGCTATGGGCTGGAATCGCGATGTGTTTGGAACAAATGCAGCTGAGGCGATCAAAGATGAGAGTGCAGATGAAGATTCACGACCGGGGTCTTTAAGGAGGCGGACACCCTCCTTCTCCAGGCAGGTTGGGGGCGCTAGTGCTGCTGGAGTTGCTGTTTATCAGAAAATGACCCAGACCACCTTCTCGCTGGACGAGGCTGTGGCTGAGAGCTCTTGGGGTGGCAGTGTCCAAACTGTCTCTACCTCCTCCTCCCTCTGCTCTGACTACAGCTCCAGTTCTGAACACAGCCAGGACCGGGCCCCTAGCCTACGGCCTGCAGACGGGCCTAAAGATGATGGGTACATGCCCATGATGGCAGGTGTGCTGCCCTACGCTAGTGATGCAGACTACATGCCTATGCAACCAAATATCCTCCTCTCTGCCTCTGCACAAGTCCAAAGTGCTGCTTTAAATGTTCCCCAGCACATGGACTCTCAAGGCTATATGATGATGCTCCCTGGTAGAAGTGGGGCTACGGACTCTCCCGTCACATCCAGCCCTGACATTAGCAGACGAGCAGAGGGGCGAAGAGCCTCAGACCGCCAGAATGCAGAATACATAGATATGTCTCAGAGCAGCTCCACAGTTAATGCTCAAAAGGTTTCCGCTGAGAATTATTATGCCTTGACCACTCCTGGTGTCCCCAAATCCTACAGTCCCTATTTCTCCCTCCCTCGCTCATACAAGGCTCCATCCAGAAACCAGGTAGAGCATGATGATTATGTCCCAATGAGTTCCCCAGCAAAACCAGTCTACATTTCACCCACAGCCACCCCAGATCGCAGTAGCAGGTGCCCACCTTCTGAGTCCTCTCAACATAATGACTTCACGGATCGCCGTGCCGTACGGCCGAACCGCCTGCCCCTGGGAAGGCGAAGTTTGCACAGCTCTCTGCGAGCAGGAGAAGTGGCAGTGCGCCCTTCCAGCCCTGGAGAATACATCAATATTGAATTTGGGGATCGGCCCACATATTCTCCCTGCCCCCCCTCAACCCTTAGTATTAACCGGGAGCAGCGCAAGTCCCCGCTGCCACAGGATTACATGACTGTCGAGGTGGATGGTCTTCCACCAAAGAGTCGGTCCCCACGGCCCTCCCTGGTGGCCCCCTGGAATCCTCCTTCATATAGCCGGCCCTCCTCATCTTCCCACAGCAGTGGGCTCACGGTGGGTAAGCCTGACGACTACACGGAAATGTCTTTTGGGCCTGAGGAGGAGTCCAAGAGCCCTACAGCCATGCTTGAGCACCTGTGTGTTCTGGAGCAACAGTTTTTCCCCTTCAGCCCTCCAACTGAGCCTAAGGTTGTCCGTGCTGATCCCCAGGGCAGGCGGAGACACAGCTCGGAGACCTTTGTCACATCATCAGGAGCGTCAGGTGGAAGTGGCACGGACTCCAATGGCACCATGCCTAGCAATAGTGGGGCTCACCAGGTGGGCTGCAGCAATCGTCAGAACTTTGACTGTGGTTGGACTGACGGCGTGACATTCGGCAGTGAGGGTGCACATGGAAACTCCTTGGATAGAGCCGATTCCCCCTCTGTGAGGTCTGCAAGGACTCTACCTGTGGAACACCAGAATGGCCTGAACTACATCACCCTAGACCTGAGAGACGATCTCCAGCCTGGAAACAGTCATGATGCGCTTGCCTTGTCATCCTCCAGCGTTCCTCCCCCAGAGAATGGTGCCTATGTCAGCATGGATTTAATTAAATCTGAGGGTCTTACATCGGCGTCTAAAGGTGAGCAATTTTAAATATGACTGTTTTTCTTGAAAGTCATGTCTCCAAAAAAAATTTCTCTAAAATCATCTCTTTCTTTCTGAACAAGCTTTTCTTTCTGGCAGTTAGTCTGTCTTTGTTTTAAACGTGTTTAATATGTTGATATAAAAGACACTTTTCTTGAATATGTCAGTCTCGGTTTCAGTTTGGAGTATTTCTAAATAATAGTTTAGAGCAGACTAGTTAAAAAGATTAGCTGCTTTATTCATTTACTCGCTTGTCGTTCCAAACCTGTATGACTGACTGACTTCTGTGTAACAAAATATAGTTACGATAAAATTAAATATCTCAATGTGTGTTTTTTTTTTTTGTCTATGCAATAAAAGTCCAACGTTGTTTGCACCCTGTAGACTTTAATTGAATGGGCAAAAACATTTGCAACTTGCAACATTCTTAAAAATATCTTGTTTTGTGTAGTTGGAAGAAAGTCAAGTCACCTTTATTTTTATAGCGCTTTATACAATACTGGTTGTCAAAGCAGCTTTACAGTGTTAAAGAGGAAAATAGTTTGTCAATGATGCAAGAAGACAATAACAAAGAATCATTTTTCCAGCTAAAGTCAGTTAATTGATTCAGTGATGTCATCATCCAGTTCAGCTCTCTTCCAATAGTGTCTGCAATCAGTCAAAAATAAGTAAGAAAGTAATTCTTAGAGGTTTGGAATGAATCGATGAGTAGGCTAAATGATGACAGAAAATTACATTTTTGGGTGAACTATCCCTTTAAGTGTGTACAAAACACAACTTTATTGTAATGGACCCCCTCCTCTTGGCATCTCCTTCCTGTTGCATTCTCTAACTCCTTTGCCCTGAATGTTTATTTTGTAATTTTTTTTTTATATCCACTTTGTTTAGGAGCTGCTGAGTGTGTGTTGCTGCAGGGTGTGTGAGAGAATGAAGTGTTAGTGAGTCAGTGTTCTCAGCAAGCCCTAGATGACTCATTTGTTTATCATAGTTGAAGAAGAGATGGATGTGTGTGTGAAAAAGGTTGGTTTAAAGCAAGTGATAACTTTATAGCATCTCACCCTCTCTCTTTCTCTCGTACCCTTCTTTTCCTTTGGCAAACAGAACTGTTGTAGATGTATGACTCAGGTGATGATACAAAGGAAACTTTATTTTCAGGCAGCATTGCCGCCAACTAGCTACAGATATAGACTGCAGGGTTTAGCTGTAAAAAATATTGCATGATATGTCATTGGCTAAATGATTCGTAATACACTGCCATGCTTTTGGGGGCACTGCAGGTAGAATACTATTCCAGTAGTCTTCACTAGTTTATTAAAACTGCTGGGTAATTTCCGGGCCATTACTGTGTCATCGCACAAATGTCAAGCAGGTCTCCCTCTGTCAATGTTGACTAGTGCTCAGACAAACAGTTAAATGTTATACAGGGAGTTCAATCTGCAGATAGTGTACTTATAGTAAACCTTATGTTTTATTTATCATTTATTTTACATTGAATCAAGTACACTTTCAATGTGTAAAATGATACATTTTCAGTTTTTCCGTTGTGTGTGATATACTTTCTCTATATAGTTTTAGTGTGATATACACTACAGTGCAAAAGTCTTAGGCCACTAGTATTTTCACCAACAAAAAATGGTTATAAGTCTATAAGATATTTGATAGTTTGTCAGTAGGAAATATTAGTTTACATTACCAAACATTCCTTTTGCCATTAACTACAGCACTGTGAAAAGTTTTAGGCACTTGTGTAAAAATGCTTTAAAGTGAGATTTTATCTATCAATTAACTTCCGTTAACTAAATCTGATCAACATTTTGTGTAACCACCCCTTTTCATTAAAAAAACAGCTTTTGTCCTAGGTGCACTTGCACAAAGTTTTTCAGGTAGCTTTGCAGGTAGGATTCTTGAAGTGTCTTGGAGTTGTCTCAGTTTTTTCTGTTTCTTCATGTAATCCCAGACGGATTGGATGATGGTGAGATCAGATCTCTGTGTGGAGCACTGGCTGTTGTCAGTCTCCTTGTGCAAACAAATTTCACTGGATTATTACAATTAATGGCAAAAGGAATGTTTAGTAATGTAAACTGATATTTCCTACTGACACACTACAGCAAAAGATAGAACTAACTGATGTAAAATCATTTTTTTGTTGGTGAAAATTAGGGATGCGCCGATCCGATATTAATATCGGGTATCGGCTCCGATAGTGCCACTTTTCTCGGATCGGGTATCGGTCAGAGAGAGCCGATCCAAATCCGAGATTTAATTTTTTTTTCGATTGTGCGAATTATTCTGTGTTACTTCTGAAGCCATACCATAGCTTAATGTGAGCTGCATATGAATATTTAAGTCCTTACATTAAAGTTCACACAAACTCTTTTCTCCGCTGTGGCTGTCACTCATTCGTTCAGTCTTTAAACCCTGGTAGCGTTCAGTTACAGCAGTCAGCTCGGTAAAGCTCTCCTCAAGATCATTCTGTGTTCCCATTATACTTGATTTGTAAATACATGTCTATGATTTCGCAAAAAGGACTTTATCTTCTTGCTGGAGTTTAATGTTTTGTTACTTGCTATCGGGTGTCTGTGAGAACAAAACATGGGTGTAGAAGAGACTATAAATTGTTTTTAACGTGCACAGTAACTGACATTTAAAACTGTTAAAAGAAAAGCTTATATAACATGCAGAATTGATGCGCTACATGTAAACTATATACTTTATTGTATTTGTGTAGTTCCTTTGGAATTTTTCAGCTTTTAAGAACTGCCGGGTTTTCCTGTAGTAGGCGGAACTAATGCGCAAACGACAATCTCATTGGCTGGTGCTCACCTAGTATCGTCCCTGTTTTGATTTCAGCAAATCCGTTCGAGCGAACGCACACAACCTGATTAATATTCATGAATCCAGTAGCTCATTAATCCTTAGTGCGTTTTTATATTGTTCTTATTAGTAGAATTCATATAATAATAATAATATCTTATCAGTATTATTGTTCGTATTTTTTACAGGAACACAGAATGACCAAAAAAAGCACCAGCACCAGTCCTAAGATCATGGTTACCAAGTTTTAATTCTAATTACTAAACTTCTATTATTAAATAATACTTGATTATCATATTATAATGCTTGACTGACTGATATTAAGAGTGTACTTTCAGATATTTAAAAAGCTGTACCATTTTACAAACATTATATATGTTTGTAAAATGGCATAACTTATAAATATATATGTATATGAGGGTTGACTGTATAAAAAACAGTTTGTGCTGCACTGTATTTGTTTTGTCCTATTTTATAATAATACAAATAGCAATGTGTAACATTTTACCATATTTAGCACTTTTATTTGTTCCCCACAAAATATTGTTTTTCACTAAATGTTTGGATTTCTAAAATTATTGTGCACTGATTTTTCTAGAATAACTTTTGCTGCCGAATTATCCACTAACCTAGTTTGATACATTTTTGTCATAGATTATAAATATACATAGGCCTATATTTTTTCATATTTGGTTTTTATTTTTCTTTATAATGAAGTAGTCTGTAACTCTGTATCTAGTAGACTGTGAAAGAATGATAATCAGTTCCACACACAGAGATATATAAATTCTACATTTATTTAAATGAGGGAAAAAAACTTCACTGGTATCGGTATCGGCCAATACCGAACCCTAAGTATCGAAAGCGAAAAAGGCGGATCGGAGCATCCCTAGTGAAAATACTAATTGCCTAAGTTATAGAGTGACAGTTTATGTTGTCTTTTCAAAAGTCAGTGAATCATCTCAAAAGTGAACCTCAGCGTCATGTATGGATTGCATCATCTCTGTGTGGCCTGCACATTCACAAACATACAAACTGTCCATAAGTCTGTAAGTGCATATGACATAGGGGTGTGTGATATTGACAAAAAAATTATGTCTCTATTTTTTGGGATTTTTTTTAATAACGATAATCAGGCAATATTTTGCAGAGTGTGTTGTGCTGGTACCTTAAGGCAGGGGTTTTCAACCTTTTAGGACATGCGCCCCCCAAGTTGGTCTAATTTCACTCGCGCCCCCCCCAACATCCAACAACACTGAGCGTGACTGATACTCGAGACAACTCTGCTCTAACTGTCGACTAGCAGTGGGAGTCAGATTGCCCCCTAGTGGATGGCTAAAGATTTGTTAACTCATATTCATAAATTCTCAAGAGAACGTTTCTGAATTAACTGATGCTCGCGCCCCCCTTGACAGGTGCTGGCGCCCCCCTGGGGGCGGGTTGAAAACCCCTGCCTTAAGGTACAGCTGACTCCTAAAGATTTTGATATTCTTCATATTCCGTGTGGTGGTCAGTTCACAGCAGTGACAGAAATGAATATTTTCCATTAAGTTTAAATTGATTTTTACTTTTATAAAGCCTTTTTTTCTAAAGTGTGCATCATCTTTTGAGTCAAATTCTTACATTTAATCAGTCAATTAGAATAAAAGACATTTGGGCTGTTACCAAACAAATGATATCAGTATCAGAATTCATCTTTGCAATGAAGAGGAAACACGGAAGCTGCATTGTATGAATTTTCCACACAGAGGGACATGAATGCATTTAACCTGCAGTTACAAATGCATAAATATTTAGTTATTTTAAACATAAAACATTGAATACTGATATTTACAATTATTTTAAAAACGAAAACCCACCAGCAGGTGGCCGCAAGTCACTGTTAAGAAGGGAGTCATTGCGATTGAACCATTGGTTGATTCATTCAGGAACGAAACACCGTCATGTTGCACAGAGACGCAAAACAGTGCTGTGGCTGTGTTTGGAATTTTTCTGTTGGCAAAATAAAGCAAAAACAGGCAATATAGTGTCTAAAATGTAAGTCTCATAATATTACCTTGTTTATTGAACTGTTGAATAAAATCACGTTTGTAATCATGCTGATTTTAGAGGTGAAAACTGGCACTCTTCATGTGATATTGACTAACTTTCTGTGGCATTTTTATGCACAATGGCGTTTAG